TACCTGGTGGTTTAAGTAAGGTTTTGGTATTTACCTGTACCTGGTGGCTTAAGTAAGGTTTTGGTATTTACCTGTACCTGGTGGCTAAATAAAGTTTAGGTATTTACCTGTACCTGGTGGATGAATAAGTTTTAGTTACCTGTACCTGGTGGTTTAAGTAAGGTTTTGGTACCTGGTGGCTGAATAAGGTTTTGGTACCTGGTGGTTTAAGTAAGGTTTAGGTATTTACCTGTACCTGGTGGCTAAATAAGGTTTAGGTATTTACCTGTACCTGATGGTTTAAGTAAGTTTAGGTATTTACCTGTACCTGGTGGCTAAATAAGGTTTAGGTATTTACCTGTACCTGGTGGCTTAATAAGGTTTAGTTACCTGTACCTGGTGGCTGAATAAGGTTTAGTTACCTGTACCTGGTGGCTAAATAAGGTTTAGGTATTTACCTGTACCTGGTGGCTAAATAAGGTTTAGGTAGTTACCTGTACCTGGTGGCTAAATAAGGTTTTGGTATCTGGTGGCTTAATAAGGTTTAATTACCTGTACCTGGTGGTTTAAGTAAGGTTTTGGTATTTACCTGTACCTGGTGGTTTAAGTAAGGTTTTGGTACCTGGTGGCTTAATAAGGTTTTGGTACCTGGTGGTTTAAGTAAGGTTTAGGTATTTACCTGTACCTGGTGGCTAAATAAGGTTTTGGTATTTACCTGTACCTGGTGGCTAAATAAGGTTTAGGTATTTACCTGTACCTGGTGGCTAAATAAGGTTTAGGTAGTTACCTGTACCTGGCTGGAGCTGGTCCAGTGGTCCGGGTCCCCCCCGGTCCAGGGGGCCCCCCCCCCCCCGGGGTTTGTTTCCCCCTGGGCGGCGGCGGCCAGCATTAGCATCAGCGGCAGCAGCAGCTTCATGAGACGCTTTTTCCTCAGACTCAGACTCAAAAACTGAACTGGAACAGAACTGAGAGGAGAGAGAGGTTTGGGACCCTGCGGCTCTCAGTTAGTCCATAACGCACGCAAACGTGCCACAATACGACTCCAGCCTCTGCACAGAGCCTCTATGTCTCTCTGTCTCTTTGTCTCTTTGCGTCTTTGCCTCTCTGCGTCCTGTTTTCTGTACCTTTTTGCCTGTTTGTCTCTTGTCCTGTTTGCCTCTTTGTCTCTTTGCCTCGTGTCCTGGTTTCTCTTTGCCTCTTTGCGTCCTGTGTTTTCTCTACCTTTTTGCCTCTTTGTCTCTTTGCGTCCTGTCTTCTCTTTGTCTCTTGTCCTCTGTTCTCTTTGCCTCTTTGCTTCTTGTTCTGTCTTCTCTTTGCCTCTTTTCCTCTTTGTCTCTTGTCCTGTTTGCCTCTTTGTCTCTTTGCCTTCTGTCCTTTGAGCTGTTTGCCTCTTTGCCTCTTTGCTTTTTGTCCTGTTTTCTCTTTGTCTCTTTGCGTCCTGTCTTGTGAGAGCTGTCTCTTTGCCTTCTGTCCTTTGAGCTGTTTGCCTCTTTGCTTTTTGTCCTGTTTTCTCTCTGCCTCTTTGCCTCTTTGTCTATTTGTCTCTTGTCCTGATAGCTGTTTGTCTCTTTGCTTCCTGTCCTGTCTCCTCTCTCCGCTTCTGTGTGCTCTCTCCTGTCCGGACCGCCTTTATAGCATCCCGGGAGGCGTTGCTTAGTAACGGGGGCTGAGTAGTCAGATTACTCGGTCACGATTACCAAACTGAAGCCTTCACCGGGTCTATTTCTCTCAGAAACACGCGGGCTGCTACCAGCTTTAGTCGCCTCACACTTTTTAATTACGTTATTTTCTATATGTATTTAATCATCTATGATATCTAAGTACGGAGACCTTAATTAACCACTTAGTTTTATTTAGAATGGGTCCATATCTGAGCAGTTAAAAACTATGTTTTTGTACTTCTGTTTGTGATATTTGATTATTATCATTAGTAATTTGGAGACTTTTGGGGTGACTTCCTGTTTGGAAACGGACGGATGTGATGGATTCTGTTTAGATGGTGACTCATAACTTTGTGCAACTTTTCAAAGGACGTCATCTTAAGATTTTATTGATTCACTTTAAGAACCTGCGCGCTGCGGATGCTCAGAAAAAAACGACGTAAGACCGACGTAAGCACCAGGCGCTGCCATTTATGCAAATGACCCCGCAAAAGTCTGGACATTAAAAGTACAAACGACATCTGTGCACCGTGTAACTCTATTTGCTTTCTTTGCTCAGGTTTTTTTTTATTTGATTACATCAGAAAACGGATCTTTCTGTTGACCTTTGCCTCCTAAAATGTACATTTTGCTCCCCGGCCTGCTTGATTTAATCCGTTTTTTTTTCTATTTTTCTCCAATAGATTTGATTGAATTTTCTCTTTTTGAACAACAAACCTTCAGACAGCAAATGTAACATTATAACATGTACTTTTACACACTCACTTTCACTCATGCACT